TAGATACACATTTGTCTCTATCTTGCTCTTGTTCTTCATTTTGTGCCTTAAAAGTGTAATTTTACCACACTTTAACACACAAACACACACTCAAACACCATCCTTTTGTTGCTGAGACTTCTTGAGGTTTGTTTTGGAGTTTTTGGACTAGTTTGAGCCCAAAGAAGTTGCTGGAGTTGCAGCTTTGAAGGTGTTCTTCAAGGGTGAGCTTCTAACCCTTTAAACCCTTATCTTTGCTTAAGCTTTTGGACCTATTTGCATGCTGATTTAAGCTTAACTTTTAACTACAAAAAATTCTATTTTTGCATGCTTTAAATGTTTGTTTGAGGTCACTTTTATGTTGAGGGTAGTCTACCCCCTCTTAGGCCTTGTTAGGCCTTGTTTTGAGCGATCCATTTAGGCTCTTGTTTTAGCCTTTGCATGGCCTTCTCACCACTGAAAATCTCAGTGGTGGAGAGGTGGTTTTGAGGTCCCAAATAGGAGAGGGTCATCCCCTCTCCTTGCGTTCTTGTATGCTTGCTTTGAATGCCTCATGTTTGAGCATGTTTGTTAAGCTTGTGTTGGCTTGTTCTTAGCACGTATTTGGGGTTACTTTGAGATGGCATACCACTGTTTTTGGTTGTCTTGAGCACCTCATGCAGGCTTAATACACTTGTAGTGTAATCCTCACAAACTAGCTTTGTATGCCTCATGTTTGAGCATGTCTTTCAAGCATGTTTTGAGTCCATTTCAGTAGGTTTTTGGTGTTGTTTTAATAGGCCTTAGATCTTTTTGGCTTGATTTGATAGCCCCATGAATGCTCCATGCACTTGTAGTGCAATTCCATGAACTAGCCTAATGTGTGCCATGCTTTAGACCATCATTCTAGCATGCTTTTGGCTTAACTTTAAGAAGTTTTTGTCCATGTTTTAGCATGGTCTAGCTCTGATTTGTGTTGTGTTGGTCATGCATACCATGCTTTGTATAGCTATAGTGCATTCTAGCTTGCTAGCTTTATGTATCAAGTCCACTAGTATGCATTATTTGGACTATTTTCATGATTTGACATCATTTGAAATGTTATTTCAGTCCTTATAGTATGGCCATACACTCACATTTGTCACTCATTCAATGCGTTGGAGGGTTTACCCTTTATGCCTTAAACACGAGTCATTGCGTATGCCTTCATGCCTAAGCTTGTAAGCTATCATTTCAATGTGTTTTTGGGGTTATTTTGCCATGATATAACTCTGATTTTTGTTGGTGAAGCCATTTCATGCTTGGTCTTGATAGGTGTAGTGTATTTCACCTTATTTGCCTTGCATACATCATTCCTTATGCCCTTCATGGTAGCTTGTTTTGGCTTCCTTACATACATGTTTTAGAACCGCTTGATCCACCTTTCACTTCTCGTTGTTAGGTGTGAGAGGTATATTAGGTAATCTTGTTGAGGTACCCTTTTGACCATTTGACCTAGTTGCATATAGTGAAGCTATAGTGACTATTCCAACTTAAGACAGGATGCCACCCATTTAATACAGCCTAGATCATGCCAAAAATCTAGGACAGGGTAACCCCACACCCTCATAGGGGTGTTTTTGTTCTTTTTACTTGATATGTGCTTTTTATAGTGAGACTGCACATGATGGTTCATATTAGTATAAGTTTGAGAACAGAGTTCGGTGAGGATCACAGTTCAGCTATGTGTTATGACTGTTGTGAATTAGGGCCAAAGTGTTGTCCGATATTGATTGTGTTTTTCTTTCTTTCTTTTTGCTAGGTAGTTTACCATCATACCTTCAGAAAGACCCGACATTCCCCAAGTTGTGTGGACTCATTTTGGTAGGCTTTGTAAAGCTTAAGACCTTGTTGGTAGTCAACTCGTGTTTGTCTCGCTTCGGCCAGTCACTCGACGAAGAAGGAACAGACAGTCAGTATCATCGGTACAAAGCACTCTGCAAGCACCTATCTGCTCTCACTCAATCAGTTTACCAGCATCTAGTTCACCTAGACCAGCAATGGCATAGAATACAACATAGAACGCAGAGGAATTTACTGCCATGATGACTGCTTTCCAAAGAACCATGGATACTATAAACCAGAGAATGGCTGCACAAGATGAAATTATATGACGTACATCTGAGGCATCTGTATCAACCATGCATCCAATCCCAGCTGCTCAGCCAAACTCGGATCCACCCCCATCGGTTGAAAATCTGCCAGTCTCGGATCCTCAGGACATGTTTTCCTCGGCTCTAGCTTATTGTCCTCCGGTTCAACCTCCTATAGGGATTTTTCCTTTTGATATCAATGAAATTGATCTGGACTTAGTCAAGATTGCTAGACTAGAAAAAACATTGAAAAAATCCCAAGGCTTCAACTCTATTCCGGATATCGAAGATGGGTAACTGAGGCTTCAATCAGATTACCCAAGAAATTTAAGATGCCCCACATCGACAG